GAGGCCGACTGAAGGCAGGGTGTTGTTTGCTGACCAAGCCTTCTATATTGTCCCTGACCTTTCTAGTTATTTTTATCATTTATTGAAAAAGAGGTGATGAGATCTCTGATTACCATTGCAGATTTCTATATTTCCTTTTGCATCCTGTTGGTTTTGCATCATTTATTTTAAAACTGTTATCAGGTGCATAAGTACTTGGGAATTTGAAGCCCTCTTAGTAAATTGACTCTTTTATCATTATGCAATGATCGTCTTGATTCTTGATAACTTTCTTGGCATTAAAATCTATTTGATCTGATATTAATACAGCCCCTCAGGCTTTCTTTTTGATTATTCTTTTTGACTTTTATTTTGATTATTCTTGCTGTAATAAGGCTAGTTAAATCTTTTCACTTTTAATATATTTGTGACTTTGTAACTAAAGCAAGTTTCTGAAGCTAGCATATATGGGGGTCTTGCTTTTTTAAATCAACTGAGGATTTTAGGGAACTTACATTTAATGAAATTATTTGGTTTCATTCTATTATCTTTGTATTTGTTTCTTTGCTATCCTCTTCTTGTTTTGGATTAATATATATATATATATATATATATATATATATATATATATATATATATATATATATCCCTTGTGGCTTATTAGCTGTAACTCTATTTTTCTTTGTTGTTGTTTTTTTCCAGTTTAAAGTATACATCTTTTATTTTTCACAGTCTAATTCCACATGCTAAATTTCAAGCACTCCAAGCAAATTACAGGAACTTTAAAATATATATGTGGCTTTTCTATCATAAGGCCTTTGTGATGTGGTAGTCATACATTTTATTTGTATGTATATTATAAATTTTAACAATACACTGTTACAACTTTTATTTTAAACAATTATAATTTAAATTATTCTTCTTTAAATTTCAAATATCTGGTATTTACCACACATTTTTCCTTTCTGGCCATTTTATTTCTTTGTGTTGATGTGAATTACCACTGGCATTTATTTTTTCCAACCCCAAAGATTTCCTTCACCATTTCCTATAGTACATTTCCCGCTGCTATCAAATTTTTTCATCTCTTTCCATATCCATATCTGAAATAGTCTATATTTCACCTTCATTTTCAAATGGATACTTTTGCTGCATGTAGAATTTTAGGTTGATGGTGTTTATATCTGTTTCTTTGTTTCTTAAAGATGTTCTACTCTGTTCCTATTTAAATTGCTTCCCATGAGAAATTGTGCTATTCTTATTTTATTTCTTAGTATCTACTGTGTCTCTTTTGATGGTTAAAGATTTTCTATTTAGCATTGTTTTTAAGCAGTTTGATTATGACGTGCCTTGACATAGGATCCTCACATTTCCAATTCCTAGGGTTCCTTGAGTTTATTGGGTCTATAGATATATTTTACAAAATATTTGGATATCTTTCAAATCATTTATTTCCTTATAATTTTTTCATCTCTCCACTTATTCTGAGATTTTAATTACAAACATTTTATGTTACCCCACTTTTTATTAATGCTGTATTCATTTTTTCTTAGTCCTTTTCCTTCTATGTATTTCATATCAGTTTCTATTTCTATGTATTCAAGTTAACTAATCCTGTTTTCTGCAGTGTCTAATTTGCTATTAATTTCTGCACAGTATTTTTTTTTTCCCAGACTGTACTGACTCTACATCCAGAAGTTCAGTTTAGGTCTTATTTTCTTTCCTTTGGTACTGAGGATATCCAGTCCTTTTTATTTAACTTATTTATTTTTTGAGACAAATTTGAGACAAACCTGTCTCAGCCTCTTAAATCACTGGGATTACAGGCATGCAACACTTCATGCCTTTCCATACGTTCCTGTTTCTACATGACATGTTAAAATTGTATTTAATATATGAAATATAATTATAATAACTCTCTTAATTTATACTTACTGAAAAACCATCTGGGTGATTTCTGGGTCTTTTTATAGTGATTGACTATATCTTCATTATGTTTCATAGTTCCTGCTTGCTTGTATGCAGGTAATTTTTAATTGGATGCCAGACATTGTGAAGTTTATCTTGTTGATTGCCAAACATTTTTTATTCCTATAATATTTTTGAATATTTGAATTGTTTGAGCCTCCTGATGCTTTTAATAAAACTTCATAAGATAGGTCTTATATCTAAAGCTGACTTTGCCCTAGCACTGAGGCAAAACTGATCTGAATACTCTATCCAGGGCTTCATTAAGTACTCTGGGATGTACTCCAGAGAACAAAATGATAGAACTATCAGAATGTGGAAACTAATTTAATATGTGGTACCAGAAGCAAGTACCGAGGAAAACACCCAGATATTTGTCTTGGATAACTGGATTGATGGCAGTGTTTTCAATGAAACAAGTATTATTGGTTACATGTACTAAATTTTTTTGTAAAATAAGAGGCAGTAGAGTAGGTTGGCACATTCATTCTACTTGTGCCAGGCACAAAGGAGGGGTAAGTGAAAGAAAAATAACTAAGAGAAATGGTGGGGAAATAGAGGAAAATGACAAATGGTAACCCTAAGGCCCAACCACAGTGAGATAACTTGGCCAGTAGTGGAACCAAGAGTCTTGGTTCTGATGTTCTCTTAGCAACTCTAGGCAGTGAGATGGCAGAATCAGAGGGAAGAGACTGATGAAGAATATGAAGCAGCAAATGAAGTTAACAGTAATGTGTAAGATGGAAAGCAATATGTAGGACTCATACCAGCATCAGATTGGCCAGGGAAGCCAGAAAAGTCAGGATTGCCTCAGTGAGAGATTTAGACAGGAGTAAACATCTTGAGGTCAATGAAGGAGAAATATGAATACAAGGTAGTCCTCATAGAGAATGGCAGTGGAGAAATTCCCAGCAATACAGTGGGTGTGAATGTGACTTCACTTCCCTGGATGTAGGAAGTGGTTGTGAAGTAAGATTTCTGCAAGTGCCACAAGCGTGAAATTTTCATTCCAATAAATGGGGTCCAAAGGAAGTCTTTGAACAAAGAAAGTCACGCTAGAGGTCAGTAAATCACAGAAATGAATGAAGAAAGAGCAGGAAGGTGAAATTATTAAGAGCACATAGTCAATTGTGGGGGAAGAGACAGAAAGATGGAGGGATAGAAGGCGGTTGAGGATGAGTGCTTTTCTTCCTTTCATCCAAAGACCTTTATTAGAAGAAAGATGGTATTATCAAGAGAAAAAAGTTGTTTGTAGTGATCATAAGAGGGAAACCTGTTCCAGAATGTTCATTTTCAAGCACATATGACGCAACAAAAAAGAACTCCATGATAATCTTCATTCTGCTGCTCATGATAGACACAGGAGGGCAAAGTAGCATGGTCAGGGTACATGCTATAGCATGTACTGGAAGGAACACCATGGAAAACTTTCTCCTTTGGGGACAATTTTAAAAATTAGTTCATCTGAAGTTCTTCTGAGCCATTAGCGCTTCTGAAAACTTCAACATCATTTCAAATTCATCTACTAGAATATTTTAGACACATCATATATACTGAGCATCTCCACAATGAATTTTTTTTGACATGGTTTTCTCTTTGACATTCTTTAAGTGCTTACTGAGCACTCTTATGCAGAAAATAAAAAGAAAGATAATTCCCTGCCAATCAAGATCTGAACACAAAAGGGCTCACTGACCAAATTAATTTTTAAAAAAACCCTCAAAATTAAAAAAAAAACAGCACACATTAAATACCTCAAAGTGATGACTAACAGGTGGAGATGACAGGAAGTGTACACAAAAGGTTTCACCCACACCCTGTCCTTTTACTACCACCACACCTATGAGTTTCATTTATTTAAATAATAGTGGAAGAGTAACTAAAACCTGCTGACCAGTGCATAGAGCTCAACACCATTCCTCAACTTGATAGACAATATCTGATTCAACTGGACAATGTCTGACATTAGCTAATATTTTTTTTCCAACTTTGTCTAGACGTGTGTGCTAGTGTGTATAGTTTTGCTTATCTTCAGTTGATCTTTGAGCAAGTTAATCTCCCATTTCACCTACAAAAGTGTTGACATTGAAACCAAGGATAAAATGGGGATAAGTTGAAGGACAGGATCAAATCACATCTAGAATCCTTAGGTTTTACGTTTGGAAAACGCAAAGGCATCAAGTTTCTGACAGGTCAAATCAACAATTAATAAAGTTCTGGGTGCAAAATATAACTTTCGCAATATTGTGTCCATACAGTAGTGATGTATTACAAATCAGAAAAATGGCTCAGGATGTTAGCTACCCTTTAACGACCGGTAATGCGCTATTCTTTTCTTGCTATATCATCTAATCCGCACATGATTCCAGGTAAATACCCGCATCCCTGTTTCACAAAAGAGCAATCCGTGGGACTCCTTGCAGCCCCTGCTGTGAATCCACTGCCAGCCCTTAGTGTTAGAGCTGAGTCATTTGACTCCAAAGCTCCAGGTTGTCCCAGGGGCATTTTTTAAATCCGTCTAGAGTTCCAAATTTAAAATATACCCCACTCTGGAGACCTAGAGTGTACCTTCTGAATCACAGCCACAAAACCTGTCTTTATATGACGAAGTGAGGAAAGTGGGAGAGGACCCCCGGGAAGCGGGTAGACGGGTGGAGAAAACAGGTGGAAGAGGGCAGCAGGCAAAATAAAGAGCAGGACAGGGCTGTAGAGCCGCCCTGGAGAGGCTGCTGGGAGCACTGGGCGCTGGCCCCAGAGGGAGGGGACAGGAGTAACTGGGCAGGGAGGCGCGCCAGGCAGCGGCCGCACCTGCGCACGTGACCCCAGTGGGCACCAGGGCTGGGGTGCGCTCACCTGAGCCCACGTGACGGGGCGGGGTCTCTCCGGGCCGGAGGGCCACGCAGCCACGCCCCTCCCGCGCGGCACGCCCGGACCCCGCCGACCTGAGCTGCGGCGGCGGCGGCGGCGGCGGCGGGAGCCCGGGAGGCGGAGGAGGGAGGCGGAGGAGGGAGGCGGCGGCGGCGGCGCGCGGAGACGTAGCAGCGGCGGCGGCAGCATGTCGGCCGGCGGAGCGCCAGTCCCGCCGCCCCCGAACCCTGCCGTGTCTTTCCCAGCGCCCCGGGTCACCCTGCCCACCGGCCCCGACATCCTGCGGACCTACTCGGGCGCCTTCGTCTGCCTGGAGATTGTAAGTGGGGCAGCCTGGCGAGGGTGGCTCCCGGGGAGCGAGGACCGAGAGCGGCATCCTTGTCGCCCACCCACGCTGACTCCCTCTGCCTCCGCTCTCGGCCTCCTTCCCTTCGAGGTGGCTTTTCCTGCGCCCCTCTTGGGGGACCTCTGCAGGCTAGGCGCAGCCGCCTGAGCCCTCTTGGCCGGCACCTGTTACACTGGCACCTGCTCGCCCGCTGGCGACGGAAATGGCCTTAGAGAGCGAGCAGGCAGCCCGGTGGGGCAGAGGATTAGGGACTTTGGGAAAGAGAGAGGTGTTTGGGCTTGGAGGCGCCTTCGGAGACTCAGGGTTTGGCCAGGGGCCGCGCATTTGGCCTCGCCTGTTGCTGACCTGCCATTTTGTTGGGTGGTGCAAAGGTGTACCGAATACTGGGTGACCCAGAGGCTGCCAGGATGTGGAAAGCGGGGGCGGGAGGCACCAGGAAGAGGAGGAGGGAGGCTTTAGAGCTGGGCATGTTTTTACCCCACTCACCCTTGCCATTATTAGTGCCCTTTGGATTGGGGAAAGGAACGGGGCGCAGGAGAGTTAGGGCAGGGAGAAAGGTGAGGTATGTACGATGCAGTTGGCAGTTTCTAATCAAGTGGGCGTGAGAATGGAAAAGGAGTGGTGGAAGCGTGGCTGGCAAGTACTTCTCTGCCTGCCTCTGCACCTTCTCCCTTCCTAGGGTACCTACGAAATTCCAAACCTTGTCAACACACTTCCTTGGGCCTAAGTAAAGGTGGGATCACCTAGCCTTTGGTGCCTTGAACCTTCTTGGGTCCCTCGCTTGAACTTATTAAAAGGAATTTTATGGAGTTGGAAGGTTTTGAAGCTCSTTGTGGACAAGAGGGTAATGTGCAAATATGAATTGGGCAACCGAGGTTGCATCATGCCCTGAGAATGGCAAATAAATAGTGAAATGTTCGCAGTGCCTTTCCTGAATGCTGGTTTTGTTTGCTCAGTTTGGGGTTTTCATATCTACCCCCATCCTCTTTGAGTTTGCATAACCAGGATTTGGGACACGGTTTCACTTTTGTGCCTGGGGGGCTGGAACACCTTGTAAGCATTGGTTTTCTGCCTTATTATGCTAAGCCACTCTAAGTTAAATTTAGCTCAGATTTTAATCTGAAGGAATGGACACTAGTAAATTACAGGCAATGCCATCAATAATCATACAGTGACTATTAGGCTAGTGTGAGTTTGAGTTCGTAGGGAGTTCAGAAGCATCCAAATGCTCCGGATAAGGAACAGGCATCCATGTGAGAAGAACAGGAAGAGTTTGGCATTGGATCAGCTGCACAGCTGTGAGAGGGAGACACTTTAGAACAGCAAGATCTGGGAAGAAAGATTTCATAGACTCTGGGCTACTTAAGTTCCAGGTTCTTCAAACCCCAGGTGTTTGCCTAACTCTTTTAGAAGTTTCCGCCATATCCACATTCTACCCATATTGGAATTTACAGAATGTTCATGTAAATATACTCTCTTTCTAAATTTCAATTAGAAGTTAACCTTATCCTAAGCAATAATATGAATGGAACCTCAAATTTGATATTCTGGTTATATGTTTCTGATATTTATTGATAGCTTTATACAGTTGCATATGTACATAGAGAGATACATATATATGTATATGCAAATATATGTATATAGGGGGGGAAAAGCTTATCCATGTGCTATCAAGGCAAATATCACCTCAAAAACAATCTACGGTCATGTGACACTGTCAGAAACACTGTCTAATTGTGGGAAGAGGGTGTGGAAGGTGACTTATTCAATTTCCCTTCCTCTACCCCATATCTTTCTTTTTATCTAGCCCAGTGGTTAGTTCTCAGTTCTTGCTGTACTTAATAACTTGGTGGCTTTTAAGGTTGCCAGCCCAGACTAATTAAATCAGAATCTCTGGAGGAGCACCCAGGATCAGCTCTTTTTTTTTTTTTTTTTTAAGTGTCCCTGGAGATTCTAGTACCCAGTCATAACTGGGAACCACTGAGGGAGGCTTCCTCTAGGCTCTATAAAGAAGACAGTTGTAGGGCTAGGACTGTGGCTCAGTTGTAGAGCGCTGCTTAGCATGTGTGAGGCCCTGGGTTCAACCTCAGCATCACATAAAAAATAAATAAATAGAATAAAGGTATTATGAAAAAATTTTCTAAAAAGAAGACAACTCTTTTCTTGAAAATTCAGATTCTTCACTTGCCTGAATTTCCATTGCTCCCCATCCTAAGAAGGATCCCAGACTCAAAGAAGTATCTGGTCCATTTCTCTTATTCATTTCCTCTGGCTTCTTACTTAGATAGAACAGCATCACTTCCAAAAGCCATTTTAATGTGCTTTTCACATTTCATGGTCAAACATCTTTATAAGTTTAAATCTTAAGTCTCTAGTACCTGTTTTACTTGCATTTTTTTTCCCTCCACCCTCCTCCAATAAAAAAGGATCAAAATGTTCCAATGAAACTAGTGACCTTAGAGAAACAAGAGACCACATTGGAGCCAAACTTGTTGCTCCTTCTTGGCTCTTATCCTTCTGAAGTGCTTAAGTTGTTGGATTATGTATCTCAAGGACACAGAGATCAAGGCTGCATTATACCCCTCTGTGTAGAATGCTGCCTTCAGTGATGTACAGATGGGAAATAAGTAACCAATTTCAATGCACCTTTGTTCCCAACTTTCTCCATACTTTCTACTTTCCTGATTTCTTTCTGACTCCCTAGTCAGTCTCCCATGGCTCCTCTTTAAACATTCCTCTCACTGGAAATTAAATATGCGAATTCCTCAGATACTCTACTAATAGTAAGTGATCTCCATTGAGGGACCAATTATTTTAGTATCTGCCAATGTTTCTGGGTATCTCCAAACTCCTTATTAATTTTGACCTCCCATTCAGGTCCATTTTTCCCCAGGGTTTCTTCATTTATGTCTGGTTGCCCTCTGAATCTTAACATGTGAAAACTCTATCCTGTGAAGATAGACTAGACTGTCAATAGGGTTCTAAGCTAATGATACCGTGATATTGCAGTTCCATTGTCAAATTCACCAGTTAACTTTGCTCAAWGTATTCAATCCCAATCCCCTTTATTATATTTCATTCACATCTTTCAGGTATAAGCCATTTGTTGGAAAGATAATAYAAAAGATAAATAGTGCCAGCCTGCCAGAACCAGCTAAAGCAATTTATAATGCTGGTTTCAAAGATGAAGAATATTTCACCCTCATATGCATAGTGTGGTTTTTTGAAACAGGTATGTTCCACTTCTGGATAACTAAATCACCAGCCATTTGATTTTTGGCTTCAGCTATACTTAACCAATGCATGCTTGCCACGGAGTTTACTACTAAGTTAATATTGCAAAGCCAAGCCTTTTAGTTTAGGATAGAAAACATCACCTTTAAAAGTTATCATTTTCAAAATTTCTCCGTGTTTCTTCAAGGAATGTTCTCTAAATCATTCATCAGGTGTTTGCTGAGTACCTAATGTATGCAAGACATTCTTAYGGGAATAAAAATGTTAGGGCCTTCAAGCCCTGGTAAGCTAGTTGAAAGGATATGCAGGAAAATAGCTTCCACTTGGGGAAGAAAGAGATCCATGTTGGATGTGGACTATCCTAAAACATTTCCAGACAGGCCTGTAAGAAAAGTACATTGGAGCAGCTTTACTATTGAACTGAAGAAAATTATTTAGAGTTCCTGTTCTCAATGAGACTGTCTTGCAAAATGCACTAGAAAGATTGAACATAAGAGTATTAATCATGAAAAAGAATAGAAGTCACTATTCAGTTTATTTTGTAGTTTCATTGTTCAGGAAACTGTCTACATTCCCCAAGTTATTCATTCACATCTCTCTTGATGAGAGAGACTGTAGGACTGTTTTTCACATGCTTAACAGCAGTGTTTGATGCCAGTGATTTTTATTTATTTAACATAATAACATAATTAAGAATAGACCTTCAGGCCTTCCTTTATGCCCTGGAGATAGAATACATAATATAATTCTTGCCCTTAAAAAGATTATTGTCAGTCTGACTTGGTGGCTCATGCCTATAATCCCAGTGGCTCAGGAGGCTGAGGCAGAAGGATTGCAAGTTCAAAGCCAGCCTCAGCAACTTTAGTGAGGCCCTAAGCAATGTAGCCAGAACCTGTTTCAAAATTTAAAAAAAARAAAAAAGRAAAAAAGGGCGGGGCTAGGGATATGTATCAGTGCTTAAGCATCCCTGGGTTCAATTGCTGGTAGRWAGGWAGGAAGGAAGGAAGGAAGGAAGGAAGGAAGGAAGGAAGGAAGGAAGGAAGGAWAAAGATTATTGTTTGGTGGAATATAAAGACAAGAAAGAATTACATTGGTATATATGAAGTGTTAAATAGGTTTATGAAACTGGGTGTGATGGTATACACCTGTAATCCCAGCAGCTCAGGAGGCTGAGGCAGGAAAATCACAAGTACAAAGCCAGCCTCAGCAATTTAACAAGACCCTGAGCAACTCAGCGAGACCCTGTCCCTAAATAAAATGTAAAATAAAAAAAAAAAAGAGCTGGGGATGTGTTTCAGTGGTTAAGCACTCCCAGGTTCAATCCCCAATACCAAAAAATAAATWAAAAATAGGCTTTTGAAAATATTGCAGAGGAGCAGGGTAGACAATRTGGCTACTGGAGAGGCTGGGACAACCAACTTTAATGGTAAATTTGAGTTTAGTCTTAAATGATGATCGGCACTTCAATAGACAGAAAAAGTGSGGAAGAGAACTCTAGGTGGAAAGAAGGGCATATATGAAAACCTGAGACACAGAAAGACAATGCATGGAGTTCTAGCAATTGTTAGTTTAACATGGCTGTTTTGAAGGTGRCAGAAACAGAAGGAAAAACTACAAGCAGGGTTCAGGTTGAATTTTGCTGGGGAGTAGGAGGCCAAGGYATTGAACTTATTCTGTGATGGGGAGCTGCTGAAGGACAGGGATGAACTTAGTCAGACTTGTGTCTTAGTCATTTTTAG